TTATTTTAATTTATTTTATTAAATTAATGTATTTTAAATATTTTTCTTATTTAATTAATTTTTCAAGTTCTGGTGTCCTTCAGAGTGAATTTGCAGTCATGTGCAGAACACCTAGCATGTTGCACACACTTGCAGTGAATTACAAAGTCACCTGAAATTAAAATGAGCCATTGAAGTTTTCCGCTCACATTATTATAAAAAAATAGAAAGATCCTTAAGGCAAATCTCTGCAGTTGTTCAGTTCAGTACAACTTTTATTCCTGTTACTCCCTGAGAACACATATGTGACTTCATGTCACCGAGTGGTTGCGACGGGAGCTGGCCAGCATGCGCAGAAGGCACCTAGGAGGCTGCCTGCACCTGGGGCCTGGCTGTGGCAGCAGTGCCAGCGGCTGGGAAGGCAGGGAGCCAGGGTCGCCCTCGCCTCCTGTTTCACTGCCCACTTCCCCCAGCTGGCTCTGGCTGCTCTCAGAGGTGAGGCTCTGGTCTTCAAGGACGGTAGCCTTTGGCCTCGCCCTGTGGAGACGTCTGTGTGTTCATCACACCGAGGTGCTGCTCGGGCGCTGCGGCCCTGCCAGGGCTCTGCTGAGAAGCTGCTCACTCAGCACAGCTGTAATCCTGACATGGGTTTTTTTGGCATTTATAGAAAAAATATTATTGTTTCTCAATCCATTTTCTCAATTGGGTTTCTGAGGATCTATATTTAATAAACATGTGTGGGAACAATTCGTGTTCCTCTTGGGCTCACACTACGTTCCTACAGCATGTATTTATAAATCCACCAAAGGCTTCTGGAACTTCCGTGGAAGTTTAGAATAAACTTTGTGCTTAATGTGGCCAAATTTGATGCAGCTCAAGAGATTGTCTTGGTTTACCCCTTTTTAAAGGATACGGAGGAGGATTTAATGAACGAGAGAATGTTGAATATATAGAACGGGAAGAATCAGACGGGGAATATGATGAGGTAAGATGGTACACGCGTTACTCTGGAGAGACGTGTGTCGTGTGGTTGTGTTTAGGATCCGTACGCTTGCACTTGGTTTCCGTACGGGTAAAAGTGCCAGTCAGAAATACGTTGCCATGTGTCTTGTCAAGGGCTCAAGTGTGAAAGTTTTGGACTGAAAGTGAATGCATCTGTTTTGATTTTTTGGGGCTTAAAAAACTAAGAGTGAGTTCCAATTAAACTGCTACCAACTGAGTTCATTCACCTTCTTAGGGAGCTGGCTTCAGTGTCACATGTGCTGTTTTCAGCCAGTGTTCAGTGCTGTGCTGTAAAGATAGCCCGTAGACACAGGTATAAAACACTTGTTACAGTCCGGTTTCCATTAATCTTGTCCAGGCACTAGTTGTGTCTCTTGCTTCCAGTTTCTTGTTGCTAGTTGATGTTCCATGATACTTCTCGTTCCCTTTGAGTAATACCTTATTTGAAATTGATGTAGGTTTATTTTCTCACACTGTTATAATTGGATCTGAATTTTGAATTAGCTAATTTGAATAGATAATTAGTTGTTTTTAATGAACAACTAACATCTTATATTTATTTCCTGATTCAATTAATTTACATTATGGTAAGAAATACACAAAACCTCACTTATGCTAAGAGACAGCAGATGCAGGCCTTACGAAGACGGCCAAAGCTAAAGCTGCTACGGATTGTGAAATTGGAGGCAGGGAGACAGGTACAAGGGATGAAGTTGTACATTCTTAGCTAGTTATCTTATGTGATGAAACCATAGAAACGAATGTTGCTATGAAGACTCTCGCATCCTCCCCGTCCTGATTTGTATATCAGGGGTTTTGATCAGTAAAATAACCAATGATAATATTAGTATAGGAATATTAATAAAGTTATGTAATAGGGTGGACCAATCATTGTAAATGTCAAAATTAATAGTGGGCATAACATGCGTGCTTATGTTAAAATATGTTAAAGATCATGACTTTGCAGAAGAAGGATATAAAAGTTTTGAATTTTTGATGTAACTTTGAAGCACGTGAGGTGGGGCTATCCCCTGTGCTTCCCAGCGCTGCAATAAAGAAGTGCCGACTTATCTGCAACTGTGTAGATAAGTTTGTCATGTTTGTGACCTTCCGTCAACAACAGAAGTTTTATCAAAAAACACAGTTGGAAATTACTTTTGGTTAAATCCTGTCCTAATGGAATACAATTTCTTAGTTTGGACGCAAAAAGAAAAAATACCGAGGGAAGCCGGTTGGTCCCGCATCTATCCTGAAGGAAGTAGAAGATAAGGAATCTGAAGGGGAAGATGAGGAGGATGAGGATGAAGATCTCTCCAAATATAAATTGGATGAGGTAGTGTGTTTTGTTGTTTGGTTTTTTCCTAGCAATTATTTTTTAATTATCACTGCAGTACTGTTTAATGTTGGTAGGTAAGGCTTGGTCTGGTTTTAGCTGCCTCTAGAGCAATGTAGAGGAGTAGCTGTCGGAATAATGGTGCCTACACCTTCTGTAAAGTGCGTGCACGAGCTCTGTTTTGTTCTAAACACCTGCATTCAAAGATGTATGGTTTTTTAAACCATCAAAAATTAAAAGTTTGTCTGAGATCAGAATCAAAGATGGTTGAGGTCTTTATTTGGGACCTTTATGGTTACCACACAAAGGGAATGTTCTTGAATATTATTCTTAGCCTTTTAAAGTCACGTCAGATTTATTTTTTTGTAAGTGGAATAAAGTATTCTGAGGTTTGAGGGTTTTTTTTCATCTTCCCTGAAATACATGATCATCACATATTGGATTGTTCACATCCTTGGACAACAGTCCTGCCCAGGCATGCGTGTATGCTTATTTTTAACACAGCAGTCACCAGATTCTGCAGATGAAACATGTCTCTGCAGAATTACACCATGGTTATAGATCCCGAGTCTGAAAATTCTTCCAGGCACTCACTTAAATTAACTGGTAAAAGTGAATGTCTGTATTTTCATTAAGTAACAGAAAATTGAACTTCAGATGGGGTTTTTGCAGGCTTTTTAACTTGGCTTTGAAGCACAGATTCTGTAACTCTTTCCTCTTCAGCTTTTTGGATCTCACTGAGTGCACTAACAACAGTATTTTCAAAGGTTGAAAAAAGCACAAAATAAACCACAGAAGTAAAAACCAGTCAGAATATTTCTTAAGTCTTTTTCGTGTATCTGCATTTTTTCAGGATGAGGATGAAGATGATGCTGATCTTTCAAAATACAATCTTGATGCCAGTGAAGAAGAGGACACTAATAAGAAAAAGAAATCCAATAGGCGCAGTCGTTCTAAGTCTCGATCTTCCCACTCACGATCTTCATCGCGCTCATCCTCTCATTCAAGCTCAAGGTCTAGGTCCAGGTAAACGGGTACAGGTCAAGGGTAACGCCAGGCAAAATGTCAGTATCTAACTTCTTTATTTACTTTTTTTTTCTTGATTGCCTTACAGTTTAATAGTGTTAACAATGTTATGTGCAGAATTTACACAGGCCAATGATGTTCTGTTCTGACCTTCTGTGGATCCTCAGTAGGGAGGCTTCGTATGTCTTGTTGCTTGTTTTAGTAAATCTAAGTTGATGTTTTGATTGAATCCTTCAAATTAAAAATAGAACTTATTTTCAATTTTATTTTTAGGCTTGTTGGCCATATGTGATTCAGTGGGATTAGCAATGTTGAGTAGAGTTGTTGAACAGAGGAGCAGAGGAGTGGTATTGTTCAGGTGGGAGGAGGTGGCAGAAGAGGGCAGTGACGGTGCAGTCCAGACAGAGTCAGTGAAAGGACAGGCTGGGAAATATCCTGGAAATAAAGACAAGAAATTTGAACTTAGTTTGGCAAGCGACAAAACTTTAACTATAGTGGCACTGTTAGCAGAATAACACTAGAGGGTTATATTGATCATGGGGCTGCAAAAAAAGTCTTCGGGATAGACTTAAGATCTCGCATTATTACTTAAATTCAGTAATGTATGAACAATTCAATAAATGTTTTGTAATCGTGTGATGTAAATCATGTGGTAGCTTTTTAGCTGCCTTATGACTAACACAAGGATGATACCGATGGGTTTAAGACCTCAAATCCGCACTAGCTTATAGGGTTATACGTGAAGTTCCTACACGTTAAGTTCAAGTTATTCTGCTCTTCCTGGCTTTGTAACCGTACCTCTCTGCTCTCACTGCTGTGGTCACTGCAGATTCTTTGGACCCTCATGCTAACCAGACATCAGCCACCGTCTGTTTTGTCTCTCTCCCCACTGCTGTCAGGCTTTTTTCCGTGCTGCCTCTTCTAGGAAAAGCTGTGTTCTTCACAGCGCCCATTGTCAGGCCTCACTCCTTCCAGGGCCGCCTTGAGACGTGCGTTTGCCCTGTGGCTCTGAGGAGCTACGTGAATGGGCTGTCAGCAGGTTTTGTAGACGAGGTGTGGAGCAAGGTCTTCGAGGAAGTGGCTGTGGTGAGGGTAGTATGCAGCTGGTATGGGCTGCGTTGGAGTGCGGTTCTTAGGTTTAGGGGTGAGAGGGTCAAAGAAGACAGGAGAAGTTCATCTGGCCATAACTTTGTTCCTTAATTCACAAATGTAAGCAGAGAAGTACAATGTAGGTTGTCATAACTGAAATTTGTGGGGATCTTTCAGCTTTGTTGACCTTTTTGCTTCCAGCTACAGATAATTAATTGGAAATATCAGTTGCTGTTTGTGGATACTTTGACTTCGTTGTGTGTTTTTTAAAACTTTAAATGTATTTTCTAGTTAGCATGTGTTCATGCTCCTTTTGCACGGTAAAATGAAAAAGATGTGGTAACAATATAAACTAGGGGGTTGACAGCGTGTATAATGTAACTTTCTTGAAAAGATTATTAGAATTTGATTGCAATGCCTTCTTTTTACAGTGGTTACTGCAAGCCCACTCCCATTTTTATGTATCTTTTGTGGTTTGTGCTTTAAAGAAAACCCATCAACATGAAAAAATTGAAAATAATTTTGACTAGGTGCAAGTAGCATTAGATATGTCCATGTTTCAGCCAAGAATGAGCTGCTACGTTATTTTTAGTTCAGGGGAAAATCTTTACGAAAACTTGAACTTGCTTACGAAATGCTTGTGAGAACCGACCTGGGGAAGATTTGAGCTACCTAGTCCTGATACTCTTACCTTCTCTGATTTTCAAAGAAACTGATGGCTTTCAAGTTAAGGCACAAATTAAAAGTTAAGGCATTGACTTCATGAAATAGCTGACAGATACGCAGTTGTTTCGTTTTGCCAAATGACTCTGATCCTGTTTGATTTTTGTGCTTTGTTTTAGGAAACATAATGAAAAGCTGACTATACATTTTTTTAATGCACCATCTTACTATGTTACAGTTTCTGTTTTAAAATGTACTGTGATGGCGCTGGGAGAGTAGGAGGAAATTGTCACTTCTTGAGTGACACTAGGCCAAATGGTATTGATGATCGTTGTCTTTGCTGCTAACAGTAGCAGTTATTCTGCTAAATACCAGTCAGACACTGGAAAAAAAATCTTCCATGTTGTTTCAGGTCCCACTCAAGAAGCTCTTCCAGTTCCAGATCAAGATCTCGTTCCAGTTCCAGAGAACACTCTAGATCTCGTGGGTCGAAATCAAGGTGAATGAGGTAGCACTCTCTCCTTGCAGAGAGAAAAAAGGGCAGAAGAACCAACCACTTGTTGATTTCATCGTAAAATTATGCCGGTCAAAAAACATTAACTCATTTTTATCTTGGAAGTCAGAATTCCTGGGGTCTCTGCACGAGGTTGTTACCACTACAGATGTATTTCTTGAGAATGCGAGGTTTTGGCTGAAGAGTTTAAGTCTGATCTAAGCTAGACGAGTGGACGCCACAGATCTTCACTTTGAAGGAAGAAGAATTTGAGTGCATGGTTACTTGCTTCAGGAATTATTGCTGGTTTTACTGTTTCCACTTTGGCTACTTGATGTGGAAGAACGTTAGAAAATACGCTATACTTCTGGGTTTGCGTGTAGTGATAACTTAATTTAACATATCTAACTTAACTAGGTAGTGCTGCCATTATCTTGATAAATGTGGGGAATGTATAGAAATGGTGCTAGTCAGTCACGGGAGAAGCTGTCAGGAGTCTGAGCTAGCCAACATGTTCTGCGTAGCAGTTACTGACCTGCGTGGGGAAGGGGGACAAGAGCAGATGAGTTCCTTGAGATGTCCTTGCACAGGCATCCTGTTGGCAGGGATTCCCTTTTGTGATGGAACGAAGAACCGTCCCATCTCCGTGTGTGCAGGGAACCTTAAAACTGTAAATAAGGCGGTTTGGGCTGGGAAGACCGGTCACAATTGGTGCCACTGCCCTTTGGTGGCAGAAACATGCTATGGATTATCCCGCGAGGGTCAGCGCGAGATAGAATGCGTGCTGTTAAGAAGAGACAAAGGGGGCCTGTGTCCACCTCGATGCTGCAGTGAGTCGTCAGCTGAGCTGCGTTGTTGGCTTGTGCCGTGCGGCATCCACCGAGCGTCCTCAGTGTATCAGCTTGTGTGAAGTAGGACTGCTGTAGTAGTTACAATGAGAACCCAGAAAATATTTTACCAACAACACTGTGTTGCTGGGGATTTTTAAATGTTTTATCCAGCTTTCTGGGGAAAAAAAAAAAAACACAAAAAAAAAACAAAAAAACAAACCAAATACACCCTGTTAAGTGTTTTTATATGATTTTGGAATTACAATTTAGGACTTTCTAGCTCTGCTACTTTTTCTACAAGTGGGGTTTTTTCTTGGTTTGGTGTGGGGGGTTTTTTGGGGTTTGGTTTGTTTTTTTTTTTTTTTTTAGATAACCAGAGTGATTTTTGAGTCCTTGTAGGTGAAGATGGTTCATTCATTTATTTTTTTTTTTAATGCAAAAATTACTGTGTCCTAAGAGGTTTTTTAAAATATTTTGGTTGTGGAAGGTCTCACTCTACACAGATTTATTGAGCTCTGTAAGTATACCTTCTGAGGGTCTTACTAATCTAGTAAAATGAACATTACTAATCTCCAGTGTGAAGCATGCCTTGCATGAAGTGAAGCATTGTTAAACCAGCATTACCTCTGTGGCTTTCAAGCCATTTTGCTTCATGAGTTGAAGTGCTGAGGAAGGTCCTTATATGGGCTGCTTCCTGTCCCAGTCTCCCATCGCTTCTTTGTCAAAATGCGTCATTCTGGTGAATGCTGGAAAGAGGTTTCCAAACCATTGTTGGTCTGTATATCAAGAAATGCTATTTAGCAAAATTTATTAAGAGAACTACCACGGCAGTAGGAGTTTTATTGGCAGATAACTAAGGAGTAAGTATTAAAGCGTCCATGCGTTTGTCTGACAAAACGCTGGTATAACTAGAGTAGTGAGCGCTCATGAAAACTGTGTCTTTTTGTTCTTTCTTTGTTCTTTCTATGTTATACCAGAATTAAATCTGATTTATTTCTTAATCAATAAAGATCCAGCTCCAGGTCCTACAGGGGGTCTTCCACCCCAAGAAAAAGATCTTACTCAAGCTCTCGCTCATCATCTTCCCCCGAGAGAAGCAAGAAGCGAAGTCGTTCTAGATCCTCTTCATCTGGTGATCGCAAAAAAAGACGATCGAGATCACGGTCACCCGAAAGGTTTGGGTTTATGTAGAATAAGAATGGGTGTATTTAAATGTGTGATTTTTTTTTTTTTTTTTTTTTCTGAAGGACTGAGATTCACTGGGAAAGAATTGAATCCGATCAGTTATTCTGATATTAAAAGTAGTTTTCTTACTTCCCCTACTCTTGCTTCCTATTAAAACCTCTGTAGTTGCTTTGGTTTCCTGCGCTCCCCCCCCCATGAAACTTCCTCCTGCTAGGAGCATGTTCCGTAGAAAGACCTGGGTCACCATTCTTTAGTGTGTGAAAGTGTTAATGTGTACATTATTGATTCAATTTCGTAAGTAAATATTGCATTTAAAAATTGTACTTTCAGTATTAAGCTGATATTTTTAGTATTAAATTCACATTCATGAGCTTAAAGTGGTTTAAAGTTATTTCTACGTTCTTATAAGGCCCCTATCAGATATACTTGGCTTCCAGCTATGATAGGATACAGACTACTCAAAAGTGGATGCTAAAATTAATTTCAACTTATTTCTTTGCATGCTTTCTCCGTTTATATCTTACAGACGCCGCAGATCATCATCTGGATCTTCCCATTCTGGTTCCCGTACAAGTTCTAAAAAGAAATAATGTATTAAAGCTCACATTTAAAAAAAAAAAAAAAAAATCCAGTCAGTGCATGAGACATTTCGAAGAAGTTGGTGTCTTACTTGGTCAGAAGTGCTAAATCTGCTAGTAGAGGTGCATGTCTGTCCTTGCTTTCTGGAAAACTGCAGCTTTGTTCATTCATGAGACAAAAAGTGAGGTAGCATTTTAAGCCATAAACTTCCCAGAGGAGCTGTGAAATTTTATCGTTTGAGTCAGGGGTGGGGGT